GAGTAGCAAGTTAGATCCATAACTGATTATAGGAAACAGAAAACTGATTAAGGCCCAACTGCAAGGGCTTGGTGTGACAGATGATTCTGGGCTCAAACCTATCCTTTTAGGCCATAAGCCCATAATTGATGAACCTACTTTATGGAGCCCAAATTGCAAAGGTTCGTAGCGAAATGGATTGCCGTTATTCGCCGTTACATCTGTTACCGGTAAACTTTACAGACGGCGTATCATCAATTTCAGAAATGGAGTGAACAAAATACGCCTCCGAAAGTCCAAAACCCGTCCCCTCCAATCCGAACGATGTCACTGGGGAAAATCATCAAACATCTTCCCTGCATTCCTTCCCGGAAGAAATCCCTCCTTTTCCCTCGCTTTCTCTCTGCCCTCTCCGCCGCCCTACAACAGCCACCACCACCGCACCATACCGAAGACCCGAATACTGACCCTTACTCTCTCCTCAAACAAGATCCGGTTGACATCTGCCTGTCTCTCTGGGTCAAATCCTTCTCTTCGCCACCCGCCACCACTTTCCCAAACATCACCGGCTTCCTCTCCAAATTCGACCTCTGGGTCCTTGCCTACCAGCGCTCCTGTGCTCACGTCACCGGTACGTTCCCTCCCCGCAACGCCATCCACTCCCACATCCTTCAATCCCTCCTCTCTCTCCGCAACGCCGTCGTCCACAGCCGTTTCAAATGGAACCAGAAGACCAACCAGCATATCCGCAGCCCAAACGACAAGCCGTCCACGGCGATTATCTCCAGGAGGAAACTGCAACAGATTCTGGAATCAGATGAGCCCTGCTTCCAGGACCGTGTTGTGCAGGAGGTACTGCTGATGGTCCTGGAGCCGCTTTTTGAGGGTAGGTTCTCTAGTAAATCGCACGCGTTTAGGCCTGGAAGGAATGCGCATACTGTTATCAGGACTATCAGAAGTAATTTTGCAGGGTACTTGTGGTTCTTGAGAGGTGATTTGAGTGAGATTTTAGACAATGTGGATGCAGAAGTGGTGATGGGATGCCTTGAAAAAGTTGTTAACGATAAGAAAGTGCTGAATTTGATCAAATCCGGGCTTAAGGTGCCTCACACGAGGAGATTAAAGAGTGATGATGGTGGGGAGTCTAGTAAAAGGAAGAAAAAGAAGGCAGCTACCAAGAAGAAGATCTTGAAAGATAACGAGCCCAAACCTGACCCCTATTGGCTGAGGACATTCTTCAGTTTTGCTCCAGAAGAGGCTGCCAAGGTACCATCTTATGGCTATTGCGGGATTTTAAGTCCTTTACTTGTTAACGCATGCCTTAATGAATTGGATCAAGCTATGGAAAAGAAGATAGTTGAGTTCTTCAGACCATCTAACCTTGATTCTATATGGAGAGAATCTATTGATGATGGATGTCATAACCCTTCTTGGCCTGAGTTTGTTCCAGCCAGTGGTGCTGAGAAAACTAGGAAAATGGACTACATAAGATATGGAGGCCATTTCTTGGTTGGCATTCGAGGGCCTAGAGAGGAGGCAGTGCAAATTCGAAGGGAAATAATTGAGTTCTGTGAGAGTAAATTTGGGATAAAATTGGATAACTCCAAAGCAGAGATTGAACACATTACCAGGGGAATTCAGTTCTTGGACCATATAATTTGTCGGCGAGTGATATACCCTACCCTTCGCTACACATCAAGTGGGGGGAATATTGTGAGTCAAAAGGGTGTGGGTACTTTGCTTTCAGTCACAGCTAGTTTACAGCAATGTATTCGTCAATTCAGGCACCTTGCATTTGTTAAGGGTGATAAGGACCCTGAGCCACTGCCTTGTAACCCAATGCTCTACTCAAGTCAAGCTCATACCAATTCTCAAATGAATAAGTTTCTTGAGACTATGGCTGATTGGTATAAATATGCAGATAATCGCAAGAAAGTTGTTGGCTTTTGTGCTTATGTGATTCGTAGCTCTTTGGCTAAACTTTATGCTGCAAGGTACAGACTTAAATCTCGTGCAAAGGTGTACAAGATAGCATCACGTGATCTTAGTCATCCACTAAGGGAGAGTAGCAACAACTCTGCACCAGAATACTCTGACCTTTTGAGGATGGGACTTGTTGATGCAATTGAAGGTGTTCAGTTTTCCCACATGTCCTTAATTCCAACATGTGATTACACTCCATTTCCTAGGAACTGGATCCCTGATCATGAACAGCTCTTGCATGAGTACATTAGACTACAGGACCCAAAGTTCTTCTGCAACTTGCATAAAACAATAAAATGTGAAGGTTTAAGTGTCCCTCAAGAGGAAATATCTGATATTGTGTGGAATTGTAAGACTTTTGGAATTCGAAGATATCAGTCTAATGTTGACAAAGAAATGAAGGACAGCTGAGGGTAAAAGGCGCCATATTTCTTTCAACAAACTCATAGCATCAAACCAAAATTTGACTGGGTGCACTCCATTCTGAACATATCTCTATGCTGTCTGTTTGGGCATCAGCTAGGAAGAGAATCTGAGATTCTTGTACATGATCTTAGAGATTGGAAACTCATTGCACAAGCTCCTCCTTGATGGCCCTTTCTTTTTGACCCTTTGTCCCTGTCTTGGGACAAGTGGAATGTCACTTTGATGGTTACTTTCTTGAAAGTCTTGGGATACTAGGTATTGCCGTATTGGTGGGAGCTGACATTTTTGCAGTTCTCGAAACATGTAATAATGGGACACCAGGGTTGAAATTGGATTATGCACTTATGGGCAGTTTCTTAGCAGATATTGGAGCCATTCATGAATTAGTGATTATAATGATGTTGTATTGATTGGGAAAGAGAAGGGTCTATGAGGCTGCAAAATAGAACAGAGGACAATTATTTTGTCTTACAATTCATGTCCAAATATTAATTCTCAGCTGGCAACACAAACTCATTAGAGCAAGTTCAAAGTCTAAAAGAGATTTCTAATACTAAGCTTTGCTTCATGAAAAATGGATATGTAAGTTCCATTTCTTTTCATTTTTATGTCCATGATTGTATCTTCTGTTGTATCTGTTATTTTGGATACTATTTATCGTATGTATGAATAGAAATGGCTTTGTATGGCTGATTTCCTTTCTTATAACAGGCTGATTTATTATGTTACAAGCTGTAACTATGGTGCTCTACATATTCTGATTTTCAAAAGGGAAAACAATTCCTGATCAAAACCACTAAGATTTATTTATTTCCAATGTTATTGTAATGTACAATGTTGCATTTTTATTGCATAAACTTAAGTTTCCAACTTAACTAATTTGACTGAGGGAATTTTATTATGTTATCTGTGGTATCTTAGAAATCAAAGGGAAACGCAAGATTTTGTATGTTAGATCCAAATATTTTTTCAGAATCCAAGTAACTTTATGTGTTTGCCATTTTTTAACAAACACGTAATTGTCACCTTTGTCCTTCTCATCCAGCTTAATTGCTGAAATTGTGAATGAAATGTCATTGGAAGAAGCTGATGTAATTTTGGGGGAAGAAGGAGTTTGTTGAAAATATCTGAGATGGTGCCCACAATGACCAGCTCCTCAGCCTGAAGGCCTCTAACATTTCTTGCTCAACTTTTTTCTGCAAACTTGGTAACTACTTGTTAGTGAGATTAAACCTGTGTTATTATTATTATTTTTTCTTATTCTTCAGCCAGATAAAGCCTGGGATCTATCATGACCAAACTCAACGAGACCTTTGGGGAGAGAATATTCCTCCAGTAACTTAATAGACTTTCGCTTGCAAAGATCTTCACCATGGTAATCTTTGCATCTTTTCTGTGATTCTCAATTAGCTTGCATGCCATTGTAAGGTGTATGTTGTTTTGTAAAAGGATTGCTCGCCAATTAGAAGCTGATAGAAATAAGTAGTAGAAATGGGGCTTTATATACACAGCACTTCTCTCTGGTCCAAGTTTTTGATAATGCTCCAGGTTCACCCAGAATGGTTATTTGTTCGGGTAGAATGTTCTTGTCCATCTAATTTATGTTGTCAGTATCATTAGCCTCATTAAGGAAACGCCGCCAGAAGCCTAAGCTAAGCCTGGAGCTCCATCTCCCAATTTGTAGTTCTTTTTGAATGGAGATTTTTGAAGAATAAATTGCAGTCTATATTGGTAATTTACTGCCATATCAGCATTGTCAAACAATCAAAGAAGACCAGTAGGTCTGCTGTCTGGGTTGTGGGCTTTGTTTGGCCGTGCTTCTCGGTTTTTAAGCTTCTGGTTTTAATGTCTTTTTATTATTTTAAAAATATATAAAATATTAATTATAATAAATATTAAACATATTTTATATATTTTTAAAAGATGAAAAAAACTTTACCGCTACAGTTACATACCAGTACTATCAAACTAAGCTTTAGGCTTCTGGGGACATCATTTACAGATACAGTTGTGAAACCTATGGTATTGCACATGTGCTCTCATCAATGCTAAACTGCCCAAGATTATTGCTTCCAGTGGTAGGTTGGTTTGGTACCCTACAATTTATCTTTCAATTTTTTTACCTAAATATTTTGCTGTTTACCAGTGAGAGTTTCTCTGTCCCTGCTGACTTCTGATTGACATTCTGGACCATTGAAGTAGATGGTTGTTATTCATGCCTTCTATACATGCAAGCTGATGATAGGTTTACAATGAATATTAAACATTTACAGATAACATCAAAATTACACACATGCTTACCTCTACTCACCTTAAGTTAGCTGAAATTGGTTAAATACCCGGTTTGGTCCTTCAACTTTTAACTTTTAACCAAAATTACCCTTGAACTTCAAAAAGTACTAAAAAAATCCTTGAACTTCAATTTTTGATACCAATTTTGTCCTTCTATCAATTAAATTTTGATGTGGCGAAATTCTCCATTAAGAAATTCAATTTTTATTAATGTTGAGTATTAAGTGGAAATAAAGTAGGTGATATGACATTTTTTAATTATATAAAAATGTTATGATGTGGTAAATTTTAAAGTAGATAACATAAAT